GGGCGGCGGCGTGTCTTGCGAAGGCCCGCCCTTGCCGCGGCGAGGCGGGGCGCGATCGGCGTGGGGAGTATTGCGAGAAACAAGAAAATATCCGGCATGAGCGCTGGCTGTCAGGCTGTGCTGTCAGACGTAGGGCCGGTGCTGGCAGGTGCTGTGTCAGGTGGTGCTGTCGGGGTGCTGTCAGGCTCTGACACACACCAGCCACACCTAAAGTACGTATGACACTATCAAGAGGAGACCAGCAGGACTCTTCTACACATACTCTAGTCTCTACTCTGCCGGGGTCCCCCACCATCTTTTTCATGGTGGACTTCACCATCTTCTTGTCTGCCGCACTGAGAGAATAGCAGAGAGGCAGGCTGTGGAGTGCTTCTTCAGGCAAGGTGTACCTGGTAGTTGCTGGTCCAGCGGAAGGCCTGCCCATCGTTGTCGCTCGTCAGCTTGTAGTACTTGCACGCTCTGTTCGGGTAGCGCGGGCCGTCTGGGGGGGTAGACCGTCACCCTTCACGACCTCACGGTACCACCGAAGGATAAAGGGTTCCTTGGGGTCGTTGATGAAGACCCCGTTGCTGCGCTGACTCATCAAGAGCTGGCGCAGAGGTACTTCGCGCTCGAGCTGCCAGTGGCGCGGCGCGCGTCTACCGTGCCGTCCTCGGCGACGGCCACCTGCTCGATGTTGTCGATTGGCAAAGACCTTGGAGCTGTCCTCCATGGTGAAGAGCACCGCAACTGCGAAGAGAAAGAGAAGAGGGAGAGATGAGGAGATGCACGTCTTATGTGTGTGTGTGACAGGCGGGCAAGGGCGTGGTCACCGTCATCATCATCCATGTCGAAGTCGAGCTAATTCCTAGATACCCATGACCAAGTGATTGTTTGTTTTGTGAGTAAGTGAGTTTCGTTGACGAAACCACGACGACACACCAGCGACTCGCATCGGTTGCCTCGATGAACGGCGGAATTATTCTCGCGTCCACACCACACCTGGCTACAACGTGGACATGCCCATAGCTGGGCGACACTACTATAGGCCACGCAGAGAGAGAGAGAGAGAGAGAGAGAGAGAGAGAGAGAGAGAGAGAGAGAGAGAGAGAGAGAGAGAGAGAGAGAGAGAGAGAGAGAGAGAGAGAGAGAGAGAGAGAGAGAGAGAGAGAGAGAGAGAGAGAGAGAGAGAGAGAGAGAGAGAGAGAGTTTGAAACCAACAAGAAATCACGACTCTCACAGTGATTTGTGCTAGTGAGGACAGATACAC